GAGAAGGGCGGGGGGGGGGAACACTCTGCTTTTAAGAGGAAAACAATCTCAGGGCACCAGGTATTCCTTTTTCTTTTTTTTCCTAACTGATGGAAGAGTCTAATACTTCTATTTTTGTTCTTTTGTTATGAGCTGTAAATCTGGCTTCTGACTGTGCTTTCTGTTCTTGATATGTGAAGCCTTCTCTGATTTTTTTTTCCTTCTTCCTTTTCCTGTCCAACAGTTCTTAATGTTAGTTGGCCTTTGCAGCTCAAGCTGGCTGGAGGGAACTATAGGGAGGTTGAGAGGAAAAGCAGGCAAAAGCCAAACCAAAGTTTGAAGGGAAATAGGTCGCTCTGTGGAATGCTTATTTATCAATAATGTAACAGATAAAGATTTTATTTCCAGCAGGTCAGTTCTGCTACGTGTAGTAGTGTAAAAACATTTCTATTCTAGAGCAAGGTTCTAATTTTCTTCCAAGGATAAAGTAATAATTATGTATTTAGTACCATGAATAATGTTTGTCTTTCCATCATATTCTCTTTCAAATAAGTTGTAAAATACCCCCTACACGCATTGCCTTCCCTTCGGAGTACTGTGCCCTGTCCAATGAACTTTAAAGGCAAAGATGCAGATATGCAGGCAACTGGATTTATGGATTTCTAGTTGTAATTAAACTAAACCATTGGTAAATGTGTATGCTGAGTTTTCCACAGTAGGGTCTTATGGATAAAAGTGGGTTGAAACCTATGTGGTTCTTAATATATATATATATTTCCTGCATAAATCCAGTGCATTTGGGAGGAGGGAGCAATTCAAAACAATTTCATCACTGACTTCCCATCTCCTTAATTTTCTTATTTATACCTGGCCCTTCCAGCCCTAGGTGGGCAGTGGGAGCTACCAGACAAGCACAGTGCAATATAAAACAATGAAATGTAACATAAAACAATTAAAACAGAAACCATTGGCTTGTACAAAATTATGCATTCCTGTTGGTTATTCCAGCTAGCCTTTGAGACGGAGATAAATTGGTTTGTTCCCTTCTTTTGTATGACTGATACTGATTTTTGTTATTGGCATTGTTCCTCAGTTTTGATCAGTCTGTTGTTACTTTTTGTTAAAGTTTGACATTCTTATTGGGTTGTTTTAATCCAATTTTGAGGCAGCAGGATTGTAAGCCACCTAGACTTGGTGTTTGGAGTGGCATTTAAGCCTAGTGAAATAAAACTAATTAATTAATTAATTAATTAATCGAATATAAAAGCCCTGGCAGAGGAGCCAGTTAAGGCTCATTTGCTAACTTGAGACGGAATATCTGTTTCCCAGGTGAATGGATGGTGTTTTAACGCGAGCTCACAATAAGCAAACACATAATGCTCTTCCATTACATACAAAGATTGTAGCCAATGAGTACCAGGGCAAGAGCTCTAGTTTCCAAAAGCAAGAGAGAAATATTTTAAGTGTACTGACTTTAAAAGTTTAATGAGAGAGGTGGTACATTCTTAGGATAATATCACTGCTTTCTTTCTGTATGCAGTCTACTCCCTCCTTGACCCTTTACATACACACAGTTGTAACTTTTGTTGATTATTTTTGTAGCACAATGACATTGCACAGTGTGTAAGTTAAGTACAAGATCTACTCATTCTCATTTCAAGCATGTTTTATGCTTATGACAAGCCATGAACAAGAAACGCTCTAAAATTCTCTTTTCCTGGGTTTCTGTCAATCTCACCCAACCCCAGAATTATTAAAGCCACCTTAGTATGAAGTTAAATTTAAGTAATGCAACATTGGAAGATGATGGGACTGCTGATTATTGTAAGAGCTGCTGCAATGTTCAGATCTACCACTTTGTAGAATATCAGCTTACAAAAGGTGCATAACTAACTAATGCTAACTCTAGGATAAATATATAGCCCCATCCTCCATCTGGTACCATTCTGCCCTGAATGCTCCTGCAATAAAAATAAATAACCCCCCTAATATTTTCATAGATGATAAAGAGGAGGGGAAGAAGTGTAATGGCCTGTGCAAGCGGAAGTATATTTTATTCTGGGAACTGAGAGATTCTTATGTGTAGGATTTGATTGAAGTCTAGAAAAATAGGCTGCTGCTATAGAGCTGTTCCTGGACTCTGCAGCTTTAGCCTGTTGGTGGGGAACTGAATGCTTGAATGAATATACTCTTATGGTACAGCTAGTCTTTTCTGCACATAAAAAACTAAATGTATTTACTATATTAACATTCTGGTTTTCTACCACTTGTCAAGCTGTAAACAAGTGTATATATAAAAAAATAGTATAAGAAACTGACATTAAAAGTAACCCAGTTTACCAAAACTGTCATTTTAAAAATCAACAACTGATAGCCTGGGCTCTCAAATCTCAGTTTTCCTCAAATGCTTAGCAGAAGGCTTTCCAGCAAGGCACGTTATGTCAGGTACCAGCCTACAAATATGTATTTTGTGTTTCCATGATCCTTGTTGAAGGAAGGACCCAACTGAGCTTCATCTGATCTTTATAATAGTAGAGTGAGATTATTGGAAAAATTGCTGTCCCTAAACTATTGTGAGTAGGGTAGATGTCAATGGAAAGGATTAGCCTGGGGTTAAGCTGTGTGGCTTTCATTAGTCATGCAGGCTAGAGATAACAGGAGCTGTAATTCAGTGTATCTGAAAGACACCTGATTGGAAAAGGTTGCATGTGGCGTTTTGCTGTTTGGGGGCAGACCTGTCTTCTGCCTAAGGTCATTTCTTCACATATGGCTTTGCCATCTTTTGAACTGCCTGGCTTTGGCATTCACATTTCCCTCCTTTCTTTCTCTCTCTTTACCTGTTGGTGTGCAAAGATGTAAACTTCTTTATTGGTAGAGGTGTTCAACCAGAATTAGAAGTGCAGCAATTGGCATAGTTGAGGCTGGTCAGGTCCAACATGTGAGTTTGCCTTTGCACTCCATTTCAGGAACAGTTTATATTATGCAGAGAGCTAGTGCTAAGAGATACATACTGATAGTGACGTATCCTGCTCTGTGCTTTATTTGTGCTTCTCTAGTTTGACGCAGATGCTTTTCTGTTACAGACTCAGCTAAACCTTCTACTGGAAAAGCTTCGTAGCACTGTAAGTAAATAGTCATGGGCAATCGGTGCCTTCTGTCACAAGGTCCCATCTATTTTTATATTTTTGCACTAAATCTGTTAATAAAATAAACCCTAGATTTATTGTACTAATGTGGGGCTGGGGATCTGTTAAAGCAGGATATCAGTTAAATTTGAATGGAATTTTACACATGAACATTTTGCATATTTGACATTTTTTTAATGTATGTAGCAGATGGGAATTGTCAGAACCAGCATATTTAGCTTTGTAAGAGTAATCTTGGCTAAATCCATTTATTGTGGGAATCCTTTATTTTTTTACAGGTATGTTCATGTAGTCAGTTTATTCAGTGATTCTGCATCACACCGAAGTATAAGGAAAAACATGTTTGCAGGAAACTGACCAATATTAAAAAAAAATGAGAGAGAGAAAGAGATTGAAGCCCTTTGAGGTCATTGTAGTTCACCTGTAGTCTTTAACAGAAACATCTCAAAACAAATTGTATCCAGATACATGTTAGAACAAGGGTTAAAAACCTGCAGATGGGAGACCACATATGACCCACCAGCTCCTCTTTTGTAATCCCGTGAGCCTCCACAGTGGACCAGAATAACAAATTCAGCCCTTTTTGTATGTTTGCGGTAATTTAAGAAATAGAATGGGTGCGTTAAGCTTTGTGGTACTGCCATTTTTGGAATGCTGCCCTCAATATGCCACACTAAGCCTCGTGTGGGCCTCAAGCCAACAAAATTTACATGCTCCTGAACTAGAGGAACCTTCTGCTAGTCTGTGGTCCTCCATGATGTGTGTAGTATAGCGAAAGGATGATGCAGAAAACCACTCTAGTTGATCCAATGCATTTAGCTTCCAGGTCCAGAAGTTTGACCTCAATCAGCCATGGTTCTGAATTCATGGTAGTCAGTTCAAGATATCCAGATGTTCTTTGAAAGGTTTCATTAAAAAATGTCCCTTAAAAGCAGTGGCCAGCAGAAAATATTAAAGCAAGCCATATATTTTTTGTTTGTGTGACTGCTGACAAGTAGTAAGCCATTGCATCTGAATTTGTTCAGGGCTTGAGACAGTTCAGGGTGTCCTCCTGACTTTTCAGTAAGCTTCCAAAGTAGCTAATTTTAAGCAGCTCTTTCAAGGGTATCTGAAGTAGCACGCACAATGAATATTCCTGATTGTGAAATAATAGAAATTAGCTTCAAACATTCATGTCTTTTGTTCAGAAGTTATGCACTTCAAAATCAGATAAAAATCTAGCAAATGGGTAAGTAAGATTCTAGAGAAGAACGAAATGTTCTCCAGAATTTTGAACTGTGTACTGGCTATGAAGTTCATTTATTGTACTGTTTTGTTTATCCATATGGTTAATAAATTGAGATAAATCCTTCAGGAAGAGCTTCTAACCATATTTTGCAGTTATGTTTTTTATTGAAATGTGACTTTGATAAATTAATGTTCTCCCTCTCCTCCCCTCTCCCCCCCTCCCTCCCTCTCCCTCTCTTTCTCTCTCTCTCTCTTTTGGTGGGGTGAGGGCAGAGGGGTCTGCTACAAGTTTTGAAACCACACCATAAAGTTTTGAAGCCTCATCATGAGTTATCTTATTTTGACATCTTGTTTTATAGAGCTGCCTATGCTTTAGAACTCTGAATATAAAGATTTTCCTCCCTCCCCTCCTTTCCTCTCCCTTTTCAATGGCTTTGAATAGATAATTGCAATGAACTCTTCTTAACTTTGCAAATGAAATTAATTCTCCATGCATATCTCCAAATTTAGACAAAAAATAGTTCAGTATATTCTGAGCACCTTAATCCCCCACTCTGGGCACCATAGTGGCCTGAACAGTACTCCCAGCCTTCTTTTCCATATCCCTGTGGCCTTGCTTTCTCAACCTGACTGGATGATGACCCCAGCAAAGTAGCTGCCCTCCTTCCTTGTCAACATTTGTACACTGCCACATCAAGTATCAGGAACCATAGGAGACCTGATTTCCCCAAGGCTCTTGAGTCCTTTGCATAGATGTCAAGCATCCTAGAAGTTACATGTTTCTGCTAGATACTAAGCTTGGTATGAATTGGATGCTATTGGCAGTCCTATGGAAAGACAATCTCTGTGTATAAGCTTACATACAATATTTATAAGGGGTTTAAAAACAATGTGTTTAGGACAGAGTTAAATATTTTAACATATTTATTTTATCTGGGTTTATAAAAAAAGAAGAGGTGGGGAGACTTAATACAAATGCCTTAAAGAAAAATATCTAGTGGTGGAATTAGATAGCAGTATCTTGGGATGACTTGGCTCTAACATCCGTTTCTTAATTATTCTTAATTATTCAAATATTATCATGATTATGCTAATCTTCTGCCTTTACAATAGGGGTCTAGCTTTATTCGCTGCATCAAACCTAATCTAAAGATGACCAGTCACCAATTTGAAGGTGCCCAAATCCTCTCTCAGCTCCAGTGTTCAGGTAATTTAGTGTATCTTAAGAAGATACTTTAGCTCACTAATAATATGCAAATTATAAGGATTGTGGCAGAACTGAATAGCAGTGCTTTGGATAAGAGTTCTTCAATCAGAAAAAAAATGAGTATTTTAGCTTTTTTCAGTGCTCTATCGCTATAGTGAAATTACTGCGTAAAATAGTAAGCTCTAGATAATATTTAGTGTTAAGATGTTAAAAACATTTAAACTTAGTCTCTTTATAAACATTCAGTGCAAAAAAGAAAATGTGGTATTCTATGCACATAAAAATATAATTTATTTAAAATATTCTAAAGCCACCTTGAAGAACAAAAACCCTTCCAAATATCTACAACCAAAAGGAAACTTAACACTGTGGTTTTCTGAACATAAGAACAGAACATCATCCAATTTGAAAGATAACATCTTTCCATCATCATTGAACAATTTTGAAATGTTGCCTTCTCCACCACTGCAAATATTGAATTCAGCTGTAATTATTGCACTCTAGGCACTATATTATTAATCTGCCATGCAATAGTATCAATATATTAGCTATTTCTGAAGTATTGTGGTTGAATGTTCTTAGTAAAATTCAGATGTGCAGTTAATCCCTACCCCCCAAAAAAGTAAGATAAAATAATTGTACCTTGTAGGGAAGAATTGTACAAGTTGATTTGGACCAAGTGGTCCAGAATCCAGGCTGGATTCTGAAGGATGGGCAGAGGAAGGAGAAAGGTATCTGGCCCAAAGTGAACTTTTCCTTACAATGAAATGTAATTGATATTAAAAAGTAATAATATATAGTTAACATAATGACTTCCCATGTATTTAATTTTTTTTCCTACTGTCACATTAAGGAAGTACCTTTTTTCCTGAAGTACCTTCCAAGAATTTCGTGACAATTCTTGGAAGGTACTCAGGATTGCAGTCAAGGTTTTTGGGGTCCCATGGGCCCTGGGACCCTAGATAGTGCACCCCCTGTTATAGTAATAGTACAGCCTAAGCAATTAGTAGGGGGGCACCTCTATCCAATCTACCCTATCCTCCTCCTTCCAGCTGACAGATTTGGAAGCCTGGTTGAGGTGTTCTCATCAGGACTGGGTGGCATGAATATATAGCTTAAAGATGGTTGAGATCCAATTAAGTAACAAAAGTAACAATTTCACAGAGCTGATTTTGAAATGGATTATTTTAATTGTCCTGAAATAAACCTTGTTTCAAGTTAAATTGTTTGTTTTCCTTAGCTGCTACCTTGGCATTTCTTTTAATTTCTTTGTAATTTTTGCATCCCAGAGGGCCTTTAGTCTTTAAGCATCTGTTCAACTTGGCAAACATTCCTATTGCTTGTCATGTCGAGTTATGTTTAAAGTTTAATTTAGCAAATCAGTCACAAATGCTTAACATCTTCACTTTAATTAGTGTTTATTGACTCCATTTTTGGCTAATAATCTGAAGGCCTGATGCTCTTGGCAGTATTGTGGGAGAGGAGACAGGGAAAGTAATGAAGTTCCTTTTTTCTGTCTTAATCATGAATTATATTATTCTTTTTTTAAATATAATTTTATTAAGAATTTTAATTACAATAGTAAAAGCTAAAACTAAACTTAGAGAAAGAGAACAGAAAGAAAGAAGAAAAAGTATAAGAAAACAGAAAAAGAAAGAAGAAAAAGAAAAGAGAATATAATAAAGAAAAAGAAAAGAAATATATAAAGAAGTGACTTCCAACCTTCATCATAACAAGTATAAACAAATTTAGTAACTCTTCACCCCCTGTAAGATTAAACAGATATCTCTTCATCCCATATCTCTTCCCTTTTCTATAAGCAAATCCGTAAACCATCAACTTTTCAGTCCCGGTGTCAACAAAAAATCCATAAAAGGTTGGCAGAACATTGCAAAAGAAAAAGAAAAAATTACATTATTCTTCATCTAGTTTTTATTTTCTGGTTGAGAAGTGAAAATGAAATTTTTATTTGTTTGCTTGCTTGCTTTTTTACTCAATCAATTTTTGGCTAAATCAGTTGGAGGAGATTAGGGCTAATGTTTGGAAAGGTCAACAGAGACTCACTCTTGGTTTTCACTCAGACTTGAAGCTTGTTTACTGTCTTCAATCATTATGACTTTATAAGGGCTTGTGTTTCTTGTTTTAGCTAATGTTATATTTTTTACACCAATCTCAAAATATAGAAGGAGTGACAACTAGGTCCTCATAATTCAGTGGTGATTCTTTTTTGCATCTCTGTTACTCTAGGCATGGTATCTGTTTTGGATTTGATGCAAGGTGGTTTTCCATCACGAGCCTCATTTCATGAACTTTATAACATGTACAAAAAATATATGCCTGCAAAACTGACCCGTCTGGACCCTAGACTCTTCTGCAAGGTATTCATGTTCAGAATGCAAATGCCTTTATATGTGCTTTTTTCATAGTGGATTGATAATCATTGATACTTTTGTTCTTTCAAAGGATCTGTAAAACTGTCTTTCTTTTCTTTCAGGCTCTCTTCAAAGCCCTTGGCTTAAATGAAAATGATTATAAATTTGGATTAACCAAAGTGTTCTTTAGACCTGGCAAGGTAAATGGTATTTTTATCCATGAAGTACAAATGAGCACAAATTGATTTTTTAAAATTAATTTCTCTTCATCCTTTTTGCAAAATAATTGACATAAAGGATAGCATTACCTTTCTTGAAAGTAATTTCATAAGAAAATGCACTGCAATCTGATCACTTTTAATGCTGCTAGCATCTGTATTAACATGGTCTTCTCCATGTTTTATCTACTGATAGAAAATATTTTGATTATAGCTCTACCTGTGCTCAGAGTGATGGTTAACCTCCCTATAATTATTACTATGACTGTATTCTCCAAAAGCTTTGGCAGATAAATAGGACTGTTTTATTGCTTCAGTTCTGTGCTTTAACTTTGTTCCTGGCTTAAAGTTGAGTGTACACCCTCTGTATTACTATCAGAATAGGTAGTCACAACTTGTACTGTGTGACACATATTCAGAAATATGCATATTCCAGATGTTGGTAAGTTTTTGATAGCATGACTAGGTCTAGAAGCTCATGGGCAGCCACTGTGGCCTCTACACATTGTCATGACTGCAACATTCTGTTTACAGTAGAACTCTCCATCTCTCAACATTCTTGATGGTTGTCTTAAATGGCATTCCCCCCCACCCCCGCCCCCATGTTCAGTTTGCAGAATTTGATCAAATCGTGAAGTCTGATCCAGATAATCTTGCTGACCTGATTGAACGTGTGAACCGCTGGCTTATTTGCAGCCGTTGTAAGAAGATTCAGTGGTGTTGTTTATCAGTTATCAAATGTATGTATTCAAGAATATCTCGTGGCATGGGCTGATGGGATCATGTGAGCAAAACTAAAAAACTACCTATAACTCTGTCTTTTAAGCAATCTTACTTGAAACATTAGAATGTTTTCTTTTAATTAAGAAATGGTTGAAATCTGAAATTGTCAAAAATCACAACATTTTAGGAATACGACTCTTGATTTTGTGTGTACTTGCACAATAATGCTGAAATGTGTGTCCTTTTCTGAAATCCTGCAAGAGCTCATGCAAGAACCAAAGTCTTGCAAGATGTAGTGATCTTGTAAGGTTTTGACAATTTAATTTTTAAAAAATCCTGTGAATTGAAGCACAAGTCCCACTCACCCAAGAATTGTTGGCAACCAATGCATCTTAATCACATATAAGGGAAGGAAGTAGCATCCACTAGTGTAAAATCTGCCTGCCTGCCTGCCTGCCTGCCTGCCTG